CATATGGTGCCCTGTGTCGCTCATTGTTTGGCCGGCTTTCTCTAGCGTGCAGTGGCGTGCTAAGTGTCCGTTTGCAGTTGGCAGAGGGGACGGCAGCAGGCTGTTTGTCAGGCGGATGGGGTTGTTAACATTCCTGTTTTATTAAAAATACAGTGGCTCTTCTATGTCGTAGAAACAATAAGAGAGGTTAATACATGCAGGAAACCATCCAACCAGTTTCTGTCATACAGGAGGCTGCACAAATACACTGATACATGTACAGTATCATAGCAGTATGGAATAAGAAGTGATCACTTGATATTACAAATTGTACAATTGTAGTAAAAAGTGTGTGTGTGTGTAAAATGTACAATAATTATTATTTTCATATTATATATACAATGTACATTAATTAAAAAACATTTATTCATGTTTTTATTATTTTAGTAAAAAAGCTTATTTGTCAGAATATATATTTATATACGTATGTGTGTGAATAAAATGTATACTAATTTACATATAAATCAAAATACATTTATTCTTGTTTTTATTATTTTAGTATTTAAGTAAAAAAAGTTGATATATTTTTTATTAAAAAAGGTTTATATATATATATATATATATTTGGTTAATAAAATGGGCTTAAATACATAAAGGATATTTGTATTATTTAACATATTTAAATTATTGCAGGTTTGAGTCATATTAATTTTAAGATGTTACTAAAGTAACATCTTACTCCCGATTTCTCTCAACGTGGGGACAGGAGAGCTTTCAATCAATAAATGGGGGGAAAAAAGTAACTCAGATATTTTCTTGTAAATTAAAAAGTAATGCGTTACTTTACTAGTTACTTGAAAAAAAGTAATCCGATTACGTAACTTGCGTTACTTGTAATGCGTTAACCTCAACACTGGTCATGAGTAGCCCAACATACCTGAATTCACAGCATAGCATTATATAGTCTAGTTAGACAAACAACCACAATGTACACTGTGACAAGCACTATACAAAAAAACTGACTCGAGTATAGTACAATAGAAACTAAAATCCCTCATTATATTATATTACACCCCATTTATTGACTACGGTGATTATTCCCACAGAGCATTGAATGTCAAAGAATTATACCCCAAACGCGGCCCTGGAGAGGCACTGGGAACGCTGCAGGACTCAAATGTTATTCGAGTCACACAGGCACTTTAAACACACAGCGCTCATTAGACACAGCGTTCAGCGACGGCTCATTTAAGCCCACGTGGAAACAGCAGCGCTCGATTACAGCTGCCATTTTTCTCAGAGTCGGCACTCACGGCTCCCTCTGCGACACAGATGCAATGCCTGTCCTGGATACATGCAGGCATGTGGCGCTCTGATTACATTATGGGGAAGTGTTTATTAATATGCTAATGATTTCATTGTGCACGAGGCTATGTGCCGTGCTGGCAGAGACACAGACAGTTGAAGGCTAATTGCTATCGCTTGTCAAAACCGTCACTGGAATTAAAAATCAAGGAAAACTATGAGATAAATAGTGCACGCCGAGTATGTGTGTACATGCATGTGGGAAAAAAAGGGGTATGGGGCAAAGGCAGGGTTTGAGGTCTATAAAACCTTGATGACTAATTACACAACACCACTGTTAATGAGCATTTCCCCTTAGGACAGACGTTTCAGGTCAATAAAAAGACATTTTAAAAAGCCAAGCAGAAACAGACGTACAAATGCAACACAGGCGTGCATCAGGAGAAGGGCATCTCGGTGACGCAAAACATGCTGCCACGCACACCATGCCACACACACACCTAGATAAACACAACCAGCTGAAAGAATTTAATGGACACGCTATAATGATAATGAAGGACACGCTAATGGCAAATCCACAATTACGTCCATTTACTTTTGACTTTGCAGGCGAAGTTCAAATAGTGTTATTGTTCACGCATCTTTAAGTGCACATGGCTCTGCACCTGATGCCAATTGCCCCTTTAAGATTTCTGCACGCAGTTTATCGGTGCATGAAAAAAAAAAAAAAAAAAGAGTCCTTCATATAGTGTTACCTTTATATATTATAGTACTAATCAAATAGTCTAATTTAAGTGTAATTTCCTAAGCTAAAATACTGAAACTACACTATCAGATAAATACACTATTCAGCAAAAACACATTTAACCACATCAGAAGTGACAGTAAAGACATTTATAATGTTACGAAAGTCTTTCGAATTTTCTATTCATCAAAGAATCCTGAAAAAAAACATGGTCACGGTATTCACAAAATATGAAGCAGCACAACTGTTTTCAACATTGATAATAATAATAAGTGTTTCTGAAGCAGCAAATCAGCATATTAGAATCATTTCTAAATGATCATGTGACACTGAAGACTGGAGTAATGATGCTGAAAATTCAGCTTTGCATCACAGAAATAAATTACATTTTAAAATATTTATTTAAAATAAATGTTTAAAACATTTCTTTTAAATTCTAATAATTGTACTGTATTTTTGATCAGATGAATGCAGCCTGAACAAAAAAACTAAAAAAGTTTGCAAACAACAATCTGAAATGTGTAAGTGAGTTTATGCCACCAGCAGCACTGATGTTGGAGCGTCTGGCTACCAGCCCTGACGAGGTGATAAAAGCATGTTTCCTATAAATGCTAACAATCTTCATTAGCACGAAGGGGGAGGCAGAGTGCATGTTTCCCTCCACATTCTCCACCTTTAAAAATTTAGGAAAGTTAAATAAAAAAGCTTATAAGCTACCGGTAACTTAAAATACATGTAAGCGGCTGTACCCCAATAGGTTTACCCCAGAGATGAATGTGACTGCACATCTATTTAAGGATCAAGTGCAATCTGCAAATACTGAAATAGTCTTACCATGGCGATAAAAAAGTAATGTGGGCACCAGTGTTATTGTAGTTAATTTGTATAATTATTTCATATTACTATCCATTAAAAAAATATTTTATTACTTAGAAAATTTGAAATGCTAACTAGGCAACAACTGAAAGTTTATAATTACTAAAACTGAAATAAAAATAAAGTAAAATAGAAATATTAAAAAATAAATAAATAAATAAAAATGACATGATTAAACTATTAAAATTTACACAAATTAAAATGGAAAACTGAAACATATTAAAAATGATTAATAAATACATAATATATTAGTAGAGATTTAATATAATTCAGTAATGAATCAGATATATCCTCAGCACCCTCAGATTTTCCAGTTTTGTGTAAACTGTGTAATGTCAAATTGTCTTACAATAACTCTACTGGAGCGACGCGTAATCATATTCAAGTGGAATTCATTGAGGGATTTGACCGTGTGATTCATAGATTAAGTGTTTCAAATATAGGCTATTATACTGTATATGCTACACGCACGCACAAAGTTTATTTTTTTCTTACCATGTTTTGGGGGTTTCTTGCTTTTAGACTAGTCGAATACAAAACTTTCGTTTAAACGACAGTCAAATTACTCGTCGCGCACATCCCTGATCTGTACCATGCCACAGTACTTTTCCTTAATTCAGAAAGTACTTTTTTGAGTGGAAAAGCAATACGATGTTTGACCTCCTCCATTCAACCACATTTTAACAAACGTTTGCCCGGCCACATCTGCTCTTTAATGTCCTCGTCTGCTTCTCACTAATAAAGAAGCACAACAAGGGGATCATTTAATGACGGCAGCTGGACATGATAGAGACACGATCATCTGTCAGGGACAATTTCACATCACAGTCAACTCTTTGTTTTTGTCCTGTGTGTGTGGCCCCGCTATGCTGCATAGAAATGTGGTTGGTCTGTACGACACATTAAACTTTTTCCATTGTTTCATGACAAACAAACAACCCAGGAATTACACTGCTACCCAGAGAGCCATTTCCACATGTTGTTTGTCGCTAAATTAACATTCTTACTCTTATGTGCCATTACCTTAAAGGGGTCATAGGATGCCCATTTTCCACAAGTTGATATGATTCTTTAGGGTCTTAATGAAAAGTCTGTAACATTGTTTGGTTAAAATTTCTCAATGGTAGTGTAAAAACACCTTTTTTACCCTGTCAAAAACAGCTCTTTTCAGATCAAGCCGTTTTGTAGCATTTTCCTTTAAATGTTAATGAGCTCTGCTGACCCCGCCCCTCTCTTCCGAGCCGCTCTCTGAGGCACTGTTTACTTTAGCCGCATTAATCGTGAAACTTGCTAATTACCACATTATTAGGAAAGGCGATTTGCAAAGATTCGTTAAAAAAACCTTATACTCACTTCTTCTGTAGATGAGGCTGGATCACGAATGATTCGCATGAACATAGACGCATTTATGTAGATCGGGGGAGCATTCCCTTCAAAAACAAACGTAATCCACTGCGAGTTCAGCGGCTGAGATGTCGGGAGTAAATGACGACTGCTATGTTCATTATTACATCCAACAACAGAACACCTCAATCGCTTAGGAGTCATTCTTGTCTATATCTGCTCCGGCGGTGAAACACTGGCGGACTGATGACAGCTCGCTCAGGGCGGAGCTAAGGTAAGACGCTAGTCCAATCTGTACTGAAACGCTACTGTCAATCAAACTATCGTGGGAGGGGCCTTAAAAGTGCATGTAGCATCCTATCACCCCTTTAAGGTTTTATATAAATATATGAAAGTATCTCACAAAGCCTGTCAAGAATCTCTGAGTCATATTCTCCTTTAAAATCAAAAGACAAAACATACAATTTTGTATAAAGAGGTTCTGTGCAAAATCAGTTCAAAATAATTATAATGATTGACAATTGAAACTATATGTGTACTTGGAGTTCTTCAGAAGAACCAGAACAAATGTAAGATTATGAACCGTATGGAACTACTGATGAAAATGATTGAATCATCTGCATTGACACTACACTGGACCTGTGCAATTTCAAAGGGAAATCCTCGGAATTGGCCAAGACTTGAGAAAGAGAGAAAATCGAATTGTATGTTTGAAATATATATATTTAAAAGAAAGAAAAAAAAAACTTACCTCTAAAGGAGAGTCACAGAGGAACCTCTTGAACTGTGAGGGGAAAGAGGTAGAAAAGAAATGCGTTATTTTACATTCATGTACATATAACAAAATACAAAAGATAGAGTTGGTGGGCAGTCCCAGGAATACAGCTGAGCACATTTGAGATGGCCTTTTGCGTAATTTTATCAAACTTCTCTCCTGCGGCTGTTGCTAACAAATACTGCATCACCAAATCCTCATTAAACAACCAATGCTTTGCTGCATCTACAATACCTACACACAATCATACACACGGATCAATGAGAAAAGATTAATGCCAACATTTTGCTGCATCAGACTGGTCGCGATGCTCAAACAAGCAGATCAATGCTTTAAATCTTCAATTGGACTTTCAAATGTTTTCAATTCTGCTTTATCTAAGAGAGATTAAATAAACTTGGCTCTTTAACAACACACACAATTGCAACTTTTGTAATCACAGTGATGGAAGACATTTAATATTGTTGACTTAATTTCACAATGAGTAGCTGTTCGGTCATTAGTTTGTTTTGGCCGAAGCGAGGCAGCAGTAACTGGCTAACAAAGAAAGAGAAAAGGCAAGATGTTTATTCGCCTTTTTTCTGTGCCATGATGAACTTGATTTGTTTATTGATGACTGGCAGGTGATTTGGGTAGCGTGTTTCTCTGTTTAGATCAAAGCACGTCAAGCACCCCATCAATGTAACAAAAGACCCTAATGTTTCAAATTTTTATCTTGTCTATCTATCTTGTCATCATTCTACAAGTTGCCTAAGAGCAACTAAAAAAAAAAAAAGAAAGAAATGACAAAACTGATCAGATCAAAGGTTTTCATCCAAACATGCAAACCACAAACAGAAAAGTCAGAAATGCATGGAAAAAAGCCAGTCCATGATCATTGGCACTGCTTCGGGAGCATGTGTGTGTTGGCTGTTTTAGCTGGATGTCAATGCTGATCCACAGGCCTGTGATACTAACATACTCTGCTGTAACGATGAAACATCAGAACCAATAAGAGAGAAAGAGAAGGGCAGTTTATACAAACTAAATGACAATTCATCCACACTGAATTCATTAGACTTGAAGAAACATTTAAATAAAGCTGCAGATTCCAGATCTTCAGCAGAATAAATTTGATAGAATTACATTTGGTTCCACGCAACAAATGCATATTTCATGCCCTCCATCTTTAATATACAGACACAAAGTTGTGTTGGGGAAGTTGTGGCCTAATGGTTAGAGAGTCGGACTCGTAACCCAAAAAGGTTGCGGGTTCGAGTCTCGTACCGGCAGGGATTGTAGGTGGGGGGAGTGAATGTACAGCACTCTCTCCACCTTCAATACCATGACTGAGGTGCCCTTGAGCAAGGCACCGAACCCCAACTGCTCCCCGGGCTTGAGGAAACATTTAAATGAAGCTGCAGATTCCAGATCTTCAGCAGAATAAATTTGATAGAATTACATTTGGTTCCACGCAACAAATGCATATTTCATGCCCTCCATCTTTAATATACAGACACACACAAAGCGAGTCTGGTTGTGATCTGGCAAAACCAGGCTCCTGTGGTTTAAAACGCTGCAAAACAAGCGTGAGCAACTTCGCTTATTGGACAGCGAGAGGGTTGGAGAGAATTAGTCAGCAGTTACAAACTCCATATGGTGATTTCTGCATCTCTGATGTTTAGAGAACTAACAGCGTATGTGGGTTGGGAAGAATAGTCTATTCAAGAATAGTCCTAAACAAAGCGAGTCTGGTTGTGATCTGGCAAAACCAGGCTCCTGTGGTTTAAAACGCTGCAAAACAAGCGTGAGTAATTCGCTTATTGGACAGCGAGAGGGTTGGAGAGAATTAGTCAGCAGTTACAAACTCCATACGGTGATTTCTGCATCTCTGATGTTTAGAGAACTAACAGCGTATGTGGGTTGGGAAGAATAGTCTATTCAAGAATAGTCCTAAATATACAACAACCAAACAATTTATGGTATTTGGTTCTGTTAAAAGCTCTTAAACATATACAGTTTTCTGAGAACTGTTTCTGTTATATACTCAAAACTGTATGGCTTATATCAACAACGGAGTCTTTTGGCTCAATTTGTTTACCTCTCCGGGCGGTTGTGAAAGAGAAACGTATTGTTGGGAAAGTGGAACTGAGAAAGATGGGATATGGGAGAGGGATGCGGTGAGTCGCTCGGGGGGTAAAAGCTGGCAAAGACTCTCTCCTGTTCTGCCAGGCACTCAACAGGGGGGTTTGTGGATAACGGCTCTATGAGAGAGGGCAACGCAGCCATGCATAATTCCATTAGTCTTCTTGCTGATCTCCTGGAGCCTGGCAGCCGTGACCCAGCCTGGTTACTAACTTGGACTGGACAGAATTAAGGGTGTGTTCACACTTGTACTTCGGTTCATTTGGTCCGGACCAAAAAGGAAAATGATACATTTGGTCCTGGTCCACTTAGCGTTCACATTGGCATTTTTGACAGCGAACCTAAAGACACCGAACCTAAAGACATAGTGATACGTTCATCACCTGATCGGTCGGCTTGAATGACGTACATATTGTGATGGAACTCACCGAACACCCCAAACAAAAGTTGCATTAGACTTAAAGCGGCGCTGCGGGTGTATGATATCAAAGCATCCATTAACCGATCGGTCTGCTCTGCACCGCTTTAAGTCGAACACACCTAATGCCGTCTGCTGGACTCATTCTTGCATGTACATATAATTTCATTTTCACCACCTGCAAACTCATAAGGAGCTCATAAAAGGCACTTTACCTCATCGTTGCTCCACGTTTGCCCTCTGCTCACCAAAAAACAGGTAGTAATGACAAGATGCAACGCTATGCGACATGATTTGACGGTGCGGTGTAACCAAAACAAACTTGTTTGGTGCGCACCAGGGTTCGTATGGCAGCGTTCACACATGCTTAAATGAACCGCACTAACAGAACAAATCGCACCAGGGTTCGTTTTAATCAAACGAACCAAAAAACAGGTAGTAATGACAAGATGCGACGCTATGCGACATGATTTGACCGCGCGGTGTAACCAAAACAAACTTGTTTGGTGCGCACCAGGGTTCGTATGGCAGCGTTCACACATGCTTAAATGAACCGCACTAACAGAACAAATCGCACCAGGGTTCGTTTTAATCGAACCAAACATAACAAGTGTGAACGCACCCTAAGATGCCCACATTCACATGTGGATTTAAATTTTCATGCACAAAAGAAAGAAATGGAAAAAGAAAAAAAAGGGAAAAAAAATGAAATGAAAAAGAAAAAGAAAAGAAAGTAAATGAAAAAATAATGGAAAAATGAAAAGGAACAAAAAGAAATAAAATGGAAAAATAAATTAGAAAGAAAATAAAGAAAAAGAATAAAAAAGAAAAGGAAAAAAACACTGGAATAGAAAAGTCTCTGACATCACCAATTCCTTTAATTTCTCAACATCTCCCCTCCAACTTTTCACCATTCAATCAATTCCTGGTGGGGAAAAAGTCATGTTCTGCCCTTTTTTCCTCCTTGAATATCTTTATGTTGAAAGAAAAACTGGTTATTTGTCAACTACCCATATCGTTAAAGACAAGCATTCATGTTTCTTTCATCAGTGCCATTCTCTCTGTAGCCCTTCTTCAAATGTGTTGTTCTGAAACGCTCCAAAATGGCCTTTCTTAAAAGCAAAAAGGTGAACTCTGACCAAAAGTAGGAAGTGAAATGGCTCAGCAGGAATTTAAAGCTCTGCTCATTTGAAATTAGGCAGAACGTAGTGAAAGTTAGGGATCGGCCCTTAACAGACCACGAAATCTAGTTTAGATCAACCTACATCTGTCACCATTCTTTATTTAACTAGTTAATGTTCTCCTACACTGAAAAATAGATTCAAGTGAAAGTTTTAATAAAAGAAACAGCTCATTTTGGAAAATGTCATGCATCATTTAACAGCAAATACATATATTAACACTTAATATAGAAAGTCTGAGACCTTACAAGATGGTCATTAGTCTATGTAAATCCTGCTGGTGAGAATAAACGTGTATGAATCGATTTGTGTTCCTCCTCTCCTCCCCAGTGCTACTCTGTATAATTAGTTCATGTGTCATTAGGAGGAGTAAATAGAGTTTTAACAGGATTTGTTGTGCTGAAAATCCATGCCACATGTGTAGGACCTCAGTCATGCCTCACTACATCAGAATAAAACAGCAGAAATCCCTGCCTTTCTATCTGTGTGTGTGTCCCAATTACAGTCTTACATTCACAATAAAGGGCAGTTTACACTGATTTCAAGCAACACAATGCCAAGAAGTCATTTATTTCCACTGAGATTTTGAGGGAAATGGGTTACTGCATAACCAGCCCACAAACTCCATCATTTACTTTAATCTTCAATGCTTTAATTTATTCAATTATCAAGATACCATTCAAAAGTTTGGAGTCGGTAAGCTTTATCAAAGAAATTAATACATTTATTCAGTAAATGCATTAAATTGTTGAAAAGTGACTGTTTATAATGTCACAAAAGATTTCAAACAAATGCTGTTTTTTTACATTTCTATTCATCAAAGAATCCTGAAAAACTAAATGTGTCACGGTTTCCACAAAAATATTATACAGCACAACTATTTTCAACATTGCTAATAATTATAAATGTTTCCTGAGCAGCAAATCAGCATATTAGAATGATTTCTGAAGGATCATGTGACACTGAAGACTGGAGTAATGATGCTGAAAAATAAATTACATTTTACAATATATTCAAATAGAAAAATGTTATATTAAAAGTAGTGGTCGGCCGATATATCGCCAAGGCCGATATATCAGTCGATATTTGTATTTTTTCAAATATCGGCACCGGCCGATACATTTTTCTGTTTGGCCTATGTGCTCGAGGCGAGACTTTTATTTTGACGACGCTGAGATCGCAGTGCCTGAACACACAGTGCTCACATTCTCCCTCTTGTTCACTGTCGTTGTTCAGTTCTGTCTAATATGGATAAGTCTATCTAATAATCAGATAGAACTGTTAAA